TTGCTCTGTCGCCCAGGCTGGAGTGCAGTGACATGATTTCCACTCACTGCAAGCTCTGCCGCCTCCCGGGTTCACGCCATTCTCCTGCCTCAGCCTCCCGAGTAGCTGAGACTACAGGCACCCACCACCACGCCCAGCTGATTTTTTGTATTTTTAGTAGAGACGGGGTTTGCACCGTGTTAACCAGGATGGTCTTGATCTCCTGACCCCGTGATCCGCCTGTCTTGGCCTCCCAAAGTGCTGGGATTACAGGCATGAGCCACCGCACCCGCTGGTTCAGCTTTCAAGTTAAACAATGATTTAAATGCTTTTCCTTGAGAAACTATCTTATCTCAGTTATGCTTCAGGATTTTGTTTTGTTTTGTTTTGTTTTTGAGATGGAGTTTCATCTTGTTGCCCAGGTTGCAGTGCAATGCCATGATCTCGGCTCACCACAACCTCTGCCTCCTGGGTTCAAGCGATTCTCTTGCCTCAGCCTCCCAAGTAGCTGGGATTACAGGCATGTGCCACCACGCCCGGCTAATTCTGTATTTTCAGTAGAGGCAGGGTTTCACCATGCTGGCCAGGCTGGTTTCAAACCTCTGACCTCAGATGATCCGCCCACCTCAGCCTCCCAAAGTGCTGGGATTATAGGCCTGAGCCACCACGCCTGGCCAAAAAAAAAAAAGCCTCAGGATTTAAGAGTTTATACTTTATGAGGTTGTACTTTTTGAGTACTTCCCATTTTGTCACAAAAAAAATTTTTTTTTAAAGTGCACTCAAAGACCGAGATTTAATAAAATTAAGAATTCTTACTGCATCATCAAGGATATTCGTAAGTAAAACTGACTTTAAAAAAATGTGAGTGTATTGTTCCAGGATAAACTATGAGATTCAAAGAAGTTGGTCAATACATTATTTCAGCACCACTTGTGTTTCTTGTCAAGATTTATGTAAAAGAAGATTTTCAAGAATTAGTTGGTGCTGACACTGGATGGATATAAGCAAAGTAACAAGTCCAGCTACATGAATAATTGTGTCCATTTTAAAGGAATTATAATTCTGCAGACGAGATATTAACTCAGTTTTTACGTTTGCAACTAAATTCCTTCTTTTTTATGAGACAGAGTCTTGCTCTGTTGTCCAGGCTGAAGTGCCGTCGCACCATCTCAGCTCACTGTAACCTCTGCCTCCCAGGTTCAAGTGATTCTCCAGCCTCAGCCTCCCGAATAGCTGGGATTACAGGCATGCACCACCAGGCCCAGCTAATTGTTCCGTATTTTTAGTAGAGACAGGGTTTTACCATGTTGGCCAGGTTGGTCTCAAACTCCTGATCTCAAGTTATTCGCCTGCCTTGGCCTCCCAAAATACAGGGATTACAGGCATGAGCCACCTCACCTGGCCTGCAACTAAATGTCTAATTTGGTGAGTTACTGCATCTTTGGTAAGTAGCACTCCTATGATTTCTTTTACTGATTATCATCTAGCAGGCATTCATTAGTCTTTTAGCTATTGCATGTCCTTCTCCAACGAATGAAATATAATAAGTTCATGTGTAAGATGCTTCAGTAGGTTTTTCATTTCTACTTTGAAAATGGTAATACAAAAGCTTTGGCTTTTATAAAGCATATCATGTCTATGTTGAAAATATTCAATTCCCTTTCTTTTAAATTCTGACTGGTCTGAAAACGATGTGTCAACTTGATTGGCACTACAATAGTATTTTAAAATGTTCTATTGAATGAGATAAAATAAGGCAAGTGATTAACATCTCTAATGCCAAGGGAAAGAAAGAAGCTTTTGTCATATTTTCCTTTGTTATTTATAGTTTCACCCAGATTTCTCCCTTTCCCTGACTCAGCGAATTCTGATACTGATGTCAGCATCATCTTTTTCAGGATCTTCACATATGGGAACATTAGAAAGCCAATCTTCTAGTCTCCCCTTTCTAAGCCAATGGAAGAGCCTAAAATTAAAAAACTACACATAAAACAAAATTTAATTTTAAGATAAAATATTAAATTCCTTTTTTTTTTTTTTTTTTTTGGAGACAGAGTCTCGCTCTGTCACCCAGGCTGGAGTACAGTGGTGTGATCTTGGCTCACTGCAACCTTCACTTCCTAGGTTCAAGCAATTCTCCTGCCTCAGCCTCCCAAGTAGTTGGAACTACAGATGCGCCACCATGCCCAGCTGAATTTTTTGTATATATATATATATTTTTGAGATGGAGTCTTGTTCTGTCACTCAGGCTGGAGTGCAGTGGTGGTATCTCAACTCACTGCAACCTCTGCCTCCCAGGTTCAAGCAATTCTCCTGCCTCAGCCTCCCGAGTAGCTGGGATTACAGGTGCACGCCACCATGCCCGGCTAATTTCTGTATTTTTTTAGTAGAGACATGGGTTGGCCAGGCTGGTCTTGAACTCCTGATCTTGTGATCCGCACAATGTGGCCTCCCAAAGTTCTGGGATTACAGGCGTGAGCCACCGTGCCCATCTGAATATTTTGTATTTTTAGTAGAGACGAGGTTTCACCATGTTGGCCAAGTTGGTCTGGAACTCCTGAGCTCAGACAATCCGCCCGCCTTGGCCTCCCAAAGTGCTAGAATTACAGGCATAAACCACCGTGTCCGGAAGACAAAATCTTAAATTCTAGGTCGGGGGTGGTGGCTCACACCTGTAACCCCAGCGCTTTGGGTGGCCGAGGCGGGCATATCATGAGGTCAGGAGATGGAGGCCATCCTGGCCAACATGGTGAAACCCCACCACTACTAAAAATACAAAAAATTAGCCGGGCATGGTGGCACACACCTGTAATCTCAGCTACTCGGGAGGCTGAGGCAGGAGAATTTGCTTGAACCTGGGAGGTAGAGGTTGCAGTGAGCCGAGATCACACCACTGCACTCCATCCTGGGCAATAGAGCGAGACACCATCTCAAAAAAAAAAAAAAAAAAAATTAAATTCTAAAAGAGTATCCCTTTCCGGCTGGGTGCAGTGGCTCGCGCCTGTAATCCCAGCACTTTGGGAGGCTGAGGTGGGCGGATCACCTGAGGTCAGGAGTTCGAGACCAGCCTTGTCAGAATGGTGAAACTCCGTCTCTACTAAAAATACAAAAATTAGCCAGGCGTGGTGGCGGGCGCCTGTAATCCCAGCTACTTGGGAGGCTGAGGCAGGAGAATTGCTTGAACCCAGGAGGAGGAGGCTGCAGTGAACCCAGATCGTGCCACTGCACTCCAGTCTGGGTGATAGAACGAGACTCTCAAAAAAAAAAAAATTAAATAATGAGTGTCCCTTTTAGATAAAGTTCAAATATTTAAAAATGTTCTCAATATGTTAAAAAATATTCTTGTGAGACAAGCCAACAAACTGAACTTTTTTCTTATGTTTCCGTATAGATATTAGAACAACTTCAGGATTTCAAAAAAACTCATCTATTAGGTGACAAGGAGGTTACAGAGATTAGAGCAGGTATAACCGAAGATAGCTTGTAAGTGCAGCTGTAGCTGGTGGGCTGGTTGAGGTTCTGGACTTCGCAGTGCAAAATAATTTAAAGTCCAAAGTAAAAGCAAGCAAAAGAGTTTATTGCAAAGCGAAAGTACACCCTGACAGCTGATCAGAGCGGGCTGCTCAAAGGTGAGACAGCATACACTGACACTGGTGAAACTCCCTTTGTAGGAGTCTCACAGGATCATTCATGAAGAGGGGAGAACAGGTGTTGCTATTAAGTATGTTCTCTAGTTTTCTGGGGCCATGTGCGCTGTGGTTGTATATGCTAGTATATACATTGCATGTCTTATTAGTATCTTAAATCTTCACCCAGGGCTGTTGTTTTTGTTTTTTGTTTTTTGTTTTTTTCCCTACTATTACAATGAGTATAATTCAGCCCAAGGATACTGATGGGTTTCTGCACTTGTGAGAATTTGGGGATTTTCCCTTTTGCTCTTCTACCTCTTTGCTGCAAAATTTTCTAACCAGGAGCCTAGGATGTGGTTTGTACACTATGGGCTGGTTTGTTCTATTTATTTAGCAAGTTTGTTCCCCTTGAAGGGAGGCTATGACCACCTATCTAACCTACCTCCTAGAAACACACTAGGAGTATTGAGGGCAAACTGCATTAATCTCTGAAAACGCACATATTTATGCCCTAAACCTACTACCTTAGAAAATTCTAGAAAACACAAGGATACTCCAGCATACATTTTACCAGCTAGTCAATCATCATCTAGCCTCTTGAAAACTCTGTACACTTCCAACAGAATGAGGGTGAAAACGGCACATAACATGTAAGAAACGTTATCAATATTGACTTTGTGAATTCCCTAGAAGAGTATCAGGGACCCTGAGGTCACCAGACCACATTTCGAGAGCCACTGTACCAGATTCTGTTCTAGGTAAAAGCTGGAGCAATCGGCATGAATAAAATACTCTCTCTATGGGGAGCTGTTTACGTAGTGGCAACTGCGACCTGTTCTAACGTGGCACAGAACCGAGCGCTGTGAGAGGGTGGGACGTGAGGAGACCTGTCCTTGCCCGCCGGGACAGGGGAGTGGGCTCCAGGAAGGTGACCTTTCAACTGCGACCTGCTGAGAAGGAGTCGGCAAGGGTGGCCGCCAACTACTTCTTTTTCCCGTCCACCCCCCAAATACCAGGAGAAGAGGGGCGGACGGGAAGCGACAGTGGCCGCCAGTCCCTGGCACGCGACGGGCTCTGAACCTGCCACGCCGAATCCTCAGGACAGCCCCGCTATCACGCAACTCCTCGGGTATGAATCGCCAGGGCCGGAGTCGCGCGCGGCGCCGGGGACCCGCGTAAAACCGCCTGTGGGAAGTGGGCGGGTGGTGCGCGGTCCGGGGACAGTGAGAGGCGGTGGACCAGGCGGGGACGTCCCGAAAAAGGCGCGCTCAGGAAGACGCAGCTCCTTACGCGGTCTCGGGCTACGCGCAGGCGGCTAGTGGGAAAGCGAGACCCCTGGGACACAATGCCTAACAGGGCGAGGCCCCTGGCGGCTTCCTCAGGAGAACTCACAGTTCTGGGGTATCCCGGCGCCGCTACCCCGTTGCGAGAAAGAAGGTCCACTTCCGCGCGCAATCTCGGGCGAGTGGCCTTTTCCACCCCCGCGGTCTCTTGCGCACTCTGGTGGCCTCTGGCGAGAACGACACTGAACTGGTTCACGCGGGACGCCAATAAAGATTTCTTATTCAAAAAACAGGAAGTGCCTACGGAGGCCGGGCAGGCAGCGGCGGCCGGGCATGAAGCCGGGCGGCTACCGTATCGCGGGCGGCGGCGGCGATGAGCGACATAGTGGAGAAGACGTTGACGGCGCTGCCGGGACTCTTTCTGCAGAACCAGCCAGGTGGTGGGCCCGCGGCTGCCAAGGCGTCCTTCTCCTCGAGGCTAGGCAGCCTCGTCCGCGGCATCACCGCCCTCACCTCCAAGCACGTAGGTGCCCGCTGGCCCGGGAGCTCAGGGACATCGGAGTGAGGCCCCCGCGCCAGGAGGCCCTGGCCGGGCGGCGAGACTCCAAGGCCTCCGGGGTTAGCCCTCCGGCGGGGCTCAGGGGCTGCTATGTCGGTTCGTCCTTTCGTCTGACTGGAAGCTTCACTTTCCTGCTGGGACTGACAGCAAGGGAGGCCGAGTTTCCACAGTTGGTTCTGACACTGACTCTTTGATCTGGGGCATATCTCTGTAACCTCTGACCCTCCATGTGTTTTCTCAACGTTGGCGTGGAAAAGTACTGATACATAATTCATAGTTTTTTGAGGATTGGGTGAGATGTCAAGCGTGTGAAAATACCCAGTGCGATGGAGGTGTCAGACATTGTTTACCTTCCACAAAGTTTTTTTCCCTATTCAGTTTCCTTGTCTCCCCCCCCACCCCGCGTCCCTTCAACTGAACAACAGTTCAGATGTCGCATACCTGAACAGATCCTGTGAGCCTCATGTTGAATATCTTGGAGGAGCTTGAGGTTCTTGGGTTAGAACAACGTGTTGGGCAAAGAAAAAGCATAGTTCTCTTAAAATGTAAAATTTGCTAAGTTTCTGCCTCAAACGGGCTTTGAAAATGAGCAGTTATAAAAATTCTTGAGCTTTTAAAAATTTTTAATTTTTAATGACAGAGTCTCGCTTTGTCGCCCAGGCTGGAGTGCAATGGTGCGATCTCGGCTTGCTGGAGCCTTAAGATTTTACAATTTTTTATTTTTTTATTTTTTTATTTTTTATTTTTTGAGATGAGGTCTCGCTCTGTTGCCCAGGCTGGAGTGCAGTGGCACCATGTTGGCTCACTGCAAGCTCCGCCTTCCGGGTTCATGCCATTCTCCTGCCTCAGCCTCCCGAGTAGCTGGGACTACAGACGTCCGCCACCACGCCCGGCTAATTTTTTTTTGTATTTTTTAAGTAGAGATGGGGTTTCACCCTGTTAGCCAGGATGGTCTCGTGATCCGCCGGCCTCGGCGTCCCAAAGGGCTGGGATTACATGTGTGAGCCACCGCGCCCGGCCTTAAAAATTTTTTTTTGAGGCGGAGTCTTGCTCTGTCGCCCAGGCTGGAGTGCAATGGTGTGATCTCGGCTCACTGGAGTCTCTGCCTCCCGGGTTCAAGCGATTCTCCTGCCTCAGCCTCCCAAGTAGCTGGGATTATAGGCGTACGCCACCACACCCGGCTAATTTTTGTAGTTTTAGTAGAGACAGGGTTGGGCTGTCTGGTCTGGAACCATGTTTGACCATGTTGGGCTGGCTGGTCTGGAACTCCTGACCTCAAGTGATTCGTCCCCTTTGACCTTCGAAAGTGCTGGGATTACAGGCATGAGCCACCGTGCTGGGCCCCCACAGGTGCTTGATGGTTGCACGGATTGTGTAGTATACCAATTCACAGCTACAAGGAGTTTATATCTTAAAAAGAGCACATATTAATGTCATTATTTGTTCAACAAATGTTTATGGGAACAAGGTTATGTATTAGACACAGGAAAATAGAATTAAAGACATTCCCTTTTCCCAAGGAATTGGTCATTCGTTTTGGGCTTAAGACAAGTGTAAGCATGACTATAATGCAATATAAATGCTAAAAGAGAAGGAAAGACAGAAAAGAAGGTTTAAAAAATTGTTTTTTGGCAGCTCAAATAAGTTGATGCTATACGGAGAGAACCTGCTTCACATTCCAGAATCATTATTTGTGGGCTTTGTTTAGTTTTGTTTTTGAGATAGAGTCTTGCTCTGTTGTCCAGGCTGGAATGCAGTGCTGCAATCTTGGCTCACTGCAACCTCTGCCTCCTGGGTTCAAGTGATTCTCCTGCCTCAGCCTCCCTAGTCGCTGGGATTACAGGCACGCATCACCACACCTGGCTAATTTTTATATTTTTTGTGGAGATAGGGTTTCGCCATGTTGGCCAGGCTGGTCTTGAAGTCCTGACCTCAGGTGATCCACCTGCCTTGGCCTCCCAAAGTGCTGGGATTACAGGCGTGAGCCACCACGCCTGGCCATTTGTGGCCTTAATGTTGTTTTTCTTGAGGTTTTTGTCCTTTGCTAATTTTTAAGGGATGCTCAATAAAATTTTTTAAAAAGTTATTTTTGATCTTAAATAGCAGTTTGAAACTGTAGATAGGCATCCACATGTGTCAGTGCTTCACTAGTGGCTTTTGAATAGCCATCTGATGAACATGTAATTCAATGTGTAATTTAAAGGTAGCATGATTTTAGCCAAAAAAAATTGGGCCAATTTTTTGAGTGCTTAGGGAGATAACATACAATGCAGACAGTAGAAGTGACCCCTTTGGTATATGTCTGAGATAGGAAGTGATGGAAAGGATTTGGGGAATGAGGAAAAGACAGGGAAGAAGAATGTAGTTTAAGGGGAAAAGACCTATTCTGTTTCTGCTTTCTTACCCTATTTCTTAATTCCATGAAGACTTTTTACTTCTAAGGGGAAGATGTGAGATGAGACTCTTTTCTTGGGCCAATACATGGAGAATTTCTACTCTCTCTTCACGTTTAATTTTTTTTTTTTTTTTTTGAGATAGAGTCTTGCTCTGTTGCCCAGGCTGGAGTTCAGTGGTACGATCTTGGCTCACTGCAACATTCACCTCCTGGGTTTAAGCGATTCTCCTGCCCCTTTCTCAGCCTCCTGTGTATCTGGGATTACAGGATGCACAGCTAATGTTTGTATTTTTAGTAGGGACAGGGTTTCGCCATGTTGGCCAGGCTGGTCTCAAGCTCCTGACCTCAAGTGATTCACCCGCCTTGGCCTCCCAAAGTGCTGGGATTACAGGCATGAGCTGCTGCTCCTAGCCTCCACCTTTAGTTTTTAAAAAACCATTTTCTGCTCTTCTACCATTAAGGGGAAGTAACTGAGTAAAGAAAAGAGGAAGGGGCCCGGCGCGGTGGCTCAAGCCTGTAATCCCAGCACTTTGGGAGGCCGAGGCGGGCGGACCACAAGGTCAGGAGATCGAGACCACCCTGGCTAACACCGTGAAACCCCGTCTCTACTAAAAAATACAAAAAACTAGCCAGGCGTGGTGGCGGGCGCCTGTAGTCCCAGCTACTCGGGAGGCTGAGGCAGGAGAATGGCGTGAACCCGGGGGGTGGAGCTTGCAGTGAGCCGAGATCGTGCCACTGCACTCCAGCCTGGGGCACAGAGCAAGACTCCGTCTCCAAAAAAAAAAAGAAAAGAGGAATGATGGGATAGCCTGGAAATACTTATTCTCTCCAGGGATGGTTCTGAGGTTTGGAGATAGGGCTTTAGATAGATCATAAGTACATAATATTTATAACTCTCCTTTAAAATAATGTTTCTTTTAAATTAAAAGTATTGTAAATTTTATTTTTTCCTTTAGATAAATGCTGTTACGGTTTTAAAAGACAGTTAATTAAGCGTTTAAATATTTTCATTTTCTCAGGAAGAAGAAAAATTAATCCAGCAGGAACTGAGTAGTCTGAAAGCAACTGTTTCTGCTCCTACTACAACACTGGTAGGTTTGCATAGTCACTGCCAACACATTTGAATTTGAAATCTAGTCTACTATGGACTCAATAGTGGCATCTAACTGATGATTGGTTGCTAAAATTTGATTTATCATAGTCAAAATGAATTATAGATGGTAGCAACTTAGATGTTAACTTTAGCCTTTTATTGTTGACTGGTTTGCACCAGAACCAGATTTGCCTATGTGAAGTCAGGGCTAATGTGATGATGATTACATAAATGTGGAGATACTCTTGGGACCCTAGTGCTCTTCTGATGTTTTTAATGTTATGCATTTGGAAAAGGTTGGGATATCAACATGATATTTTCAGACCTGAATTGATATATTGTAGGTATATCTAATTTTATTATGTAAGACCTAGTTGTTTTTAAACTTTGTTCTACATAATTTGATCTTTCAAACAATATTCAGCAACTATTTAATGAATGGTCATTCATTATTATGCAGGCCACTGTGGGGCTGTCCCAGCGTAGCTAGATTAAAACGCAGTTTGATTTTTTTTCTTTCTTTCTTTTTTTTTTTTTTTTTTTGAGATGAAGTCTTGCTCTGTTGCCCAGGCTGGAGTGCAGTGGCGTGGCACGATCTTGGCTCACTGCAACCTCTGCCTCCTGGATTCAACCGATTCTCCTGCCTCAGGCTCCCAAGTAACTGGGACTACAGGTGCCCACCACCATGCCTGGCTAATTTTTGTATTTTTAGTAGAGTTGGGGTTTTCACCATGTTGACCAGGCTGGTCTCAGACTCCTGACCTCAAGTGATCCACCTACCTCGGCCTCCCAAATCAAAATACTAGGATTCCAGGCGTGAGCCACCGTGCCTAGCCTGATTTTTTTAAAATGAGATTTTGTTCCAAGCAACATTTGTTCAGCAAATATTTGGTGAGTGTCTTCAGTATACAAACTACTGTGGGAATGTTTTCCCTCTCTGCCAGTAAAAATATCAGGGTGATCATTTTGCATAAGCACATGATCGTGAATTTGAAAAGCACTTGTAAAGTCTGAGAGAATGAATGTGTTTTCTTTTGTGGTCATAGTAATAGTTTGTGGCAAATAAAACTCAAAACATAATCTGATATATCTGTGTGTGTGTATATATATGTATGTTTGTGTGTATACATGTGTGTGTCTGTGTGGCTATGGATAAAATAATT